CAGGGTCTGAGATGCTCCCTGCTGAAGAGTCAGTCCTTGGTAGGGCTCATTCATCGCTGACCTCAGCCAAAAAGCCCTCATGTCTGTCCCTGGAAATCATGTGATCTACGTGGTCTTCCCACCGTAGGCAGATCCACCTGCACATGCCAGTATGCCATAGTCACCAGGTGAGAACTGGACAAACTGAATTGCTCTGTATTCAAACATGGTTGTTCAGCTTTTGTTCAGTTGAGAGCACACCTTTGTCATGGCAAAGTTACCTTTTGGCCTTAATACGTGGTTGATTTAGAGAAGGCACAAAATGGCAGGCTTGATTTAGCAGTTGAAATCTCTCTATGTGGCAGTAATGGCCAAAACATAATGAGACTTAAAAGTCTCAGAACTGTGCCTAAAGCTTATTTTGGATTTGCCTTACAAGAGAAACACAGAGCTTTCTTCTCTCTTGAGAGAGGAAGAAGGTGAAATCCAGCCTCAAATCAGCAATGAACTGTTCAGCACACAGCTAGACACAGCTTACAGCACGGAGAGGAGCCTGTGGGATAACCTGTGTCAGATATGCTGTCATGAACCGTAACTGCTGCAGGTGAAAGGGGGATCTGTGGCCAGTTTCCGTGGTAACTGGTGGGCACCTGCAGCTTGTTGACGCAGTAGTGGATCTGTCCTTGTCTGTGCACAGAGCATTCAGTGATGGACATATGTAGCTGTCCTGGAAAAGCCTTGGCAAAGGGTTGATTTTATCAAGGGCAAGCTTTTTTCCCCTCTCGAACAAGGCATTTTCACTTCTGTTGCGTTGACCTCTGTCCCTCAGTGTATTTAGTTTGTATTTATAAATATTTGGGTTAACTTTTATTGTTTGCTTGAAACATGTCTTTCTTTTGTGTTACAGTTTGCAATGAATTTGCAGACTGGCTCAAATTTATCTCTAGTTTCGCTGCTGTTTGAGAAGAAAGAAAACAAATCAGCCCATGAACTTGTAAAATCGCAGATAGTAATTTGCTAAAGTCATAAATATTGGATCATACACAGGATTATGAAAAGATTAATTCTGCTCTGAAAGAGCAACTCTTCTTTGTATGATGTGCAGTGTATCAGGAAGGAGGTTTGTTTGAGCCTGAGGGTGGATTCTCTAGTGTTCTGATTACCACTCAGAGCTGCTAAAGTGTTAAACTACAAAAGGTTTGTAATGAGATCCTGTGTATCTACTGCTTTTGCTATGCACCCTGAAACTTTGGTCCATAATGCAGCTATTGCTTGAGTGAGGAATGAGTGGTGATTGTCAAGATTACAGAGATGAGGATAAATTTTTGGTTTGAGATTATATCTGGACCTTTTGTGCACTATTTGCGAGATTATTCTCCAAACCAGTAGTTTTAACACTCTTTGTGCTGCTCAACATTGAGACGTTTCATTTCATGGAAGAGTTCATGGTATCAGAGAATATGCTGAGTTGGAAGGCACCCACAAGGATCATTGAGTCCAACTCCTGGCCCTGTGCAGGACACCTCAAGAATCACACCATGTTTCTCAAAGCATTGTCCAAACACTTCTTGAACTCAGGCTCGGTGCTGTGACCCCTTCCATGCAGAGCCTGTTCTAGTGCTCAGTTACCCTCTAGGGGAAAAATCTTTTCCTAATAACCAGCCTAAACCTCCTCTGACTCAGTTTCATGACATTTTCTCGAGTCTTGTCGCTGGTCATGAGAGTGAAGAGATCAGTATTTGCCCCTCTGTGAGCAAGATAAAGCATAAAATTAAACAGTTAAAATAAAAAAAAAAAAACCAAAAAAATTTAAAAATAAAAGAACGTTCTCCTGACTCCTGTAAGGTTTCTGGTAAGTGTTTATAACTAAAGCTGTCTTGCACCACACTCCTTACATGGCTTTTAAAGAGAAGAGAGGGCTAATCAAGTTTTGTGTGCTCATTATAAGGATGCCCAACATGCTTTAACCTCTTTTCTTCCTCTCTGTTGTTGAGCATCAGTAATGTTAAAGCTAAATAGCTGGAAGCAGTTTTATCACTTTGCAGCATTGCCTGGCCATGTACTGCAGGCGTGGCTTTCTGAAGCCAGGGAATGCTTGCAATTGCAGTTCAGGTTTTTTAGTTCCCTGGGACATCACGCCTTTAACCAATCAAGACTGGTGAGCTAACAAGTGAGAGGGACCTCCCGTTGTCTTCTGTGGTTTTTTTACTTCACAGCTTCCAGAAGAAATGATTACTACTACAAAAAAAACTCAACCCAAAACCTCAGCACAGCACTTAGAGAAGTGCCCATGGAGAGTAGAAATCAAACTGGTCACTAAACAGACCATAAGCTTTCAAAGGCATTGGAAGTTTATTCCCAGGAAAAAAAAAGAAAAAAAACCAAACCAGGACATTTTTAGAAATGTACTAATAGGTATGATTTTTCTGAGATGCTGATATAGGGACAGTCAGTGTAAACAGTCCAGGAAAGAACAGAAGAAACGTGAGGTTCACCTTTGAAAACCAAAGAAACATTTCAATAACCTAATAACACTTTTTGTGTCTTGTTCTGAGCTTTGTAAACTTCAGCTGCCCAGAAGTTTCCTCAAAATTGTGCATGCGTATTTGGATGACTTTAGGTCTAAAACACATACTGAACTAGATCTTAGAAATTTGGTGTTATTTTTTTGAGCACAGGTTACAGGGTCTTCCCAACTGGTAATTACCCAGTCAGTTTAAACCCATTTTCTGCATACTTCATCTCTTTCTTAGGCAGTGGGTGGTGAAGTTGCAAGTATGTAAGACCAGGTGCTGTGTTGGAGCACATTTTAAGTGTTCATCAATAAATAATACATTAAAAGTAGATAAGAAGTCAATTCTTTGCGAAGTTTTGCGAATGTATATATATATATACTTTTGGCAGTATAAGGACACTTAAGTCTGTTATCATCACTTTCAGCAAATACTACCTTTACTTGTAAATTTTTTTTGTAAAAGCCTAATTCATACAACCATGGGCAAGCAGATTATTCTCACCTAGGGATTGCTTGCAGCTGTTGGTTCACTTTCTCCTTGAAGTCTTGCTGGTAGTGTCCAGCATACTACAAGGTGAATTTTGCTCCACACAGGTCCATGATTGCTTGATGCCCATTTCAGTGGGCATCTGCTCAGAGCAAAGGAGAGGTTTACTGCTTTTATAGGCACAAATCTATTCTCTTGCTTATTGGAGTCTTGATGTAATGGAAGCTACATCATTATACAGGATCAATAGTTACTTAGGAAGCAGATTTGAAACTTCAGCTAAATGTCTTGAACACATACAGGACGGGCTACAGGACTACGTGACACTTGATGTGTTTGACAGTCGTGCCCATATTTTCACATGGTCAGTAACTTGCAAGTGCTTGAGGTGCCTTTTTGATGCCTAGTGTGACTTCAGAATGTATAATAAGTATAATAGGTAAGAATATATAAGTAAGCTTAAAGAATGGAAGAGATACAAAAATTGCTATTTCTGTAAATACTACATGTCTGATCACTGCATACAAGAAATGGAAGGTTCTAGTGTAAGTACATGAAGTACTTACAAGTCTTACTTACTGTCCAAGTTTTCGGACAAAACAGAGCAAGTAATGCATGAACATATATATGTGCATATGATACTGATTGTACCGATACACTGAGCATAGATAATGTGATTTATACTGTGAATGATGTATCAGTGTTAATTTTTGATTGTACTGGATTAGTTGTAAATTTTGCTAAATATGTGCAAGGAGATAACAATTTCTTAATCCCCTAAATTTGCTGGACATTAAATCATTACCAGGAAAAGCTTAGAAGAGGAAAAATGGATGCAATTCTGGAAGGGATGCAGTAGTGAGGAGCTTTGTTCTTGACCTGGCTATTGGTTGATCTTGGACGTTTGGCTTTCTCTCTCTCTCTTTCTTTTCCATCTGCTAAATGCAGCTGTTAACCTTTTAGCAGACCCCTTAGAACAAAACAGTTTGAAGTCTTCTGATAGAAATAACAGCTAATTCTTATCTAGAGTTATTATTCAGTGAAACATCTGTATGGGGTGCTAGTAACAATGAGGCATAATTTTAGTTACTCCTGGATAAAACCTGTCCTTAACTGTGACTTTGCTGTTCTGTTTTAGTATCTCACTGACTTGTTATTAAGACCCTGAAAACAGACTAGGTACTTTCACTTCACTGAGCAATTGAATTGTTCTTAAATGCCAGAGATCATGGTCCCAGAAATGTAGATCATCAATATTTTTGTGAACAGTGCTCTTTACTAGGCATTTGGACTTTGAAGAAATTCCATGTTGAAGAACAGCTACAGGCCAATACACAATGCAGAGAAGATACAGGGAAGACAGCAGTCCTTCATGGAGCACTGTAGTGCCATGGAGTATAACCTGGCACTTCCAACTTTCTCCTTGCATTCTCAGGAGAGATTTTTGGAAATGCCAGGAAAGAACCATGACCTCACAGCTTGTTATCTCCAGTCCAAACCTTCACATAAGATTATTGCCAGTGGCATTTCTTTGAGGCAATAATTGCTGTCAGCATTGCTGCCCTCCTTATTTAGATTAAATTAATTTAATGTAGATACAAACATGCTTCAGCAATTCCAAAAGCTTTCACTGTAGACGAAACACTAACAACCCAGGTTTACCTAATTTTTCATGATTACTTTTATTTTGCTGTGATAGCCCTGAGTAGACTGTATGAAAAGCAGGCACAAAAGTCATGGATTTGCTGAAAGAATAATTTCAAAAATCTGTTGGTATTAGCAATAGCAGTATGTGTGTGAATGTGTTACATGATGAGGGGAGAATCCCAATTAAAATCTTGTTGCTAAACAAGTGACAAAGATCTTGCAAACAGTATGAGACTCTGGGCCAACTATGGTTATAGTAATAATAATAAATCAGATCAAGTCTGATACCTCCTACACACAGGAGGATTTTTTTTTACTAATTGTCATTTTTGTAACTTTAATTTAATTTGTGTTGTTTTTTTTGCTTCCCAGCTTTTACTAAATGCTGTCAAGAAACTGGTTTTCTTATGGTGGTGAAGTGTCGGGAAGAGAACACAGCATTGAAAGACTGCCTGGTTGGCTAGTAAGTCCCTCATAAGCTTTTGTTGGTTTTTTTGTGCATTACCTATACTAATCTACAAATGAGTAGAAATGTTAACTATTCTCAAAAGGGTTATGCAAGGTTAGGGACTTTGATGTATTTTCTGAAAATGGTATCTTTTCTTTATTAAACCGTGCTGGTCAGGCCCTAACTGACAAGATTTTATTATGAATATATGGCTGTAAAGACTGTCCTTGATTTACATGGTGACATATTTCAGCCCAGGTGACCTGTAGCCCTGTATTTGCTCTGTTGCATCACATATGTGGGGATGGGGGTGAGCAGTGAAGCACCTTCATACTCTGTTAATATGAAGGATAAGTTTGTTTTCATTTTGCTTCTTGAACTGTTCTTTAAGATTTAGTCTGTCTTGAAAATGTCCTGCTGTTGTGAACAGCAATAGCAGCAGCAGTGGGAAATTGTTAGATATAAGAAAGGTCAACTTGATGTCGTGGTGGATTGAAATGTTTCTTTTGGAAGTCCTAATTTATCCCCAGTGCCATCAGGCTGAAGTGTTAGATTCTTGAATCTGCCAGAGTGAGAGTTGGGGATGTTTTGAGTTTCACTGGGAGAAAAAGGGTGTTTGTTTGTTTGTTTGGTGGAATATGTGTCCTGCTCTGTTAAACCAGAGATTAAGGTTAAATGCCTTTGAACTAGTGACAGTTATTCTCAAGTTATTTGGGAATTGATGAAAAAAACACGTCCAACCAGGTGAGAATTCAGGCCTAACTGCAATCAGAACTTGCTGGAGTTACTCAGTTTTATACCTTTGCCTTTTTTAAAAAATAAAATAAAACAAAATGCTACTGGAAAAAAAAAAGTTTAGTACATGAATTGTTATACTTTAAAACAAAATTATAAGAAAAAAGAATACAGTGATCAAGGACGTACATATCTACTGTTGAGACATACACTTTAACCTTCTTCCAGCAGAAAAAAATATAAGTGGACTCCAACAGATTCCCACACTGAGGAAGGTAACTGCAAATAATAAATTATTCAGCCGAACTGAAACACCAAATGTCTTTCCCTTTTTCTACCTTTCATCTTTGTGGCTTCACTGTAGAGGCTTGAAAACGACTATGCCTCAAGAGAGAACAGTATCATGAGAGAATGCAGACCAACTTACTACTTAGAGTTTACAAAGATAGCTTTAACACTTATGTACTTTAAAAAAAAGGTATTTTATTATTGAAGGCAGGCAAGTTTTCTTTGGGTGTTAATGTGCAGTATCTGTTCCATATTCCAAGACAAAACCCAATATTATGTATTTTTCTGTCTTGCAGCTATTCTGACCCATCATTCTATGAAGAATGCAAAGCAGAATATTTGAAGCAAAGAGAAGAATACAGAGCAACTGGAATTAGGAAAAAAAGACAGAAGGTTACTTCAAATGTATAATTAAAACTTAAAATGAACTTCTCACATTTTATATGCAACTTGGATTTTCAATTGATTTAAACAGACTTAAATGATCTGTACCCCTGCGTGGAGTTTACCTGAAATACACAAAATGAGATGAATGGAGAATAAAATAATCTCTAAAATTAAATTTTAAAATTTTCTGTAGTTAAAGATCTAAAGTATGCTGTCACAGCTTGTGAGAGAAGTTGCAAAGGTCTATTCCTCTGTCTGGACTTGAGATTTTGTTACCAGTTTGCAAATCCAGAATGTCCATTTGGAATTTAAAGCTTGTGTCTAGTTATGTGAGGCAGACTACATAAAAAACTTAAATTATTCACCCTTAAATTGTATTAACTGATCACAAATTGTGTACGCATTGAAGCTGGTCTGTTAGTCATCACCTGACACTGACTGTGTATGGAGATGCACTTACTAGAAGAGAAGGGTGGCAAATGCAGAAGAGAAGAGCTGCTCAGAGCAGTGTGAAGTGTCTTTTTCATGAGAACATTGAGTCATATGAGAGCCTGGTAGTACTTGTGCCTACACTGTGACTCATTTTTAAATTACGTTGCCATAAGGGATGGATGCCTTGTGTTTGTGAGTGGCCCAGGCTGACCACTTTGACTCTAGAGGAGAAAGTAACCTGATCCAGACATTCTTTGAGAACACTGAATAAGCTACCACTCTTCAACAAGTGACCACGCTTGCAAAATTATTGCAGGTATAGGTGAGTAAACAACGAAACTAAGCATGTAAAATGCAGGTCACTTCTTGCAGGAACTAAGTGCAAGGAAGTCCCTAATTAAAAAGGAACTTACGAAAGATCTTTCCTGTGTTGGTACTTGAAGCTGCTTACCTGCAGAACTCTCACATGCATAAATGACTTCACTAGAGATAGTAATTCAAAGTTTCACGGGCTATCTTGGGGTATCCTTTGAGACATTCTGACATAAAAACAAATTCTTTACAAGTAGGGAAAGGTTGCACTTAAACTTGGTAATGCCCTGGTTTGAAAAAAAAAAAAAAAAATTTCAGAGTAAGTAACAGGATTTGATACTTTTCCGTCAGAAGATGCAAAATTTGACTTATTTTAAAAGTTTCACCACAAACACAATATTGCTCTAAAGCTATTCAAGTAGAAAATTCAAATCAGACTTTGACATGTGTATGTGAAGGTCTTAACACTGCAAGTTAGTCCTTACCCTTTATTCTGTGCCTTTTATCAGTAATAATGTTGCTTCAGCAGATTGGCTGGAGGACTAGGGAACACTTGTGAATGAAAAACTGAAGAGATGTGTAGCATTCTGCCTTGTAAGGCAAACTTAGGTAGTACTCAGCTCTAAAACTAACCACCTGAAAATAGTGTATGTGGAACAGTGTCCTACATGTGTACGTGCTCTTGTCTCCTTAGTTCAAGCATTTTTGGAAAAAAAAAAAAAAAAGATTCCAAATCAGTTAGTGGAAAATTAGTTGTTTTACTGTATTTTAAAAATGCGTAAACTTAAGGTAGATAGTGAAATGTGTTTTTAAAGATAGTGCCAGTTCTGGTATGCCATTATGAAAATCTGCTATATTTTTAACCTCTGGAAACTTAACCTGGGTATTTGTAACTGTTGTCAAAAGCCTTTCCAAAGAGGATTTGTGTGGGAGCAAGCATTCCCTTAGGGGCAATGCTGTGTGCTGCCAGTGGTATGTGTCTGCACTGAGGGCTTACCTGGGCCATCCTCAGGTTCCCAGCAGAGCTGCTGATCAGGCACAGCATCGGCAATGGGGGTCTCCTTCTCTGTCTCATCAGAAAGCATCTTCAGCCAGTGCAGTGACCGGTACTGCAGGGGAGGAATTAGTGCCTGGAGAGGAACAAAGCCCAGGGTGGAACCTGCAGGTATTGCTCCCCCACCCTTGACATGCTGTATGTGAATGACAGCCACAACTCACTTCTGCACGGATAACTAAACCCTGCTCTAAAGCCTGAAATCCCATCTGCTGGATGGTGCTGTCAGCCAATTACTTCCCGTTACCTACACTGTTGTGTGGGTAAGAAAGGACTGGGTTATTGTAGCTCCTCCTCTGTTTGCCCTGGGATGCACTCAGAGCTGGGATTTGCCCTCGGCTCTGGCATCAGCTTCCTCTGTAACACATCCATGGCCTTAATGTGACGTTCCCTAGTTCTGAATTCTTGATTTCACACCTTTTGCTTTCTTAGTGTCTTGTGCAATATCCTGTACTTTAATTGCATTTACATCTTTTATTTAAGGTTTAAATGAAAGAATGAGTACTGTGAAGTGACAAACTCATACTAGTAAATTCCTTTTGGGTTTGTTTCTGTCTCAGCTATAAACTCTCATTCCTACTCAGGGTAGCAGGAGGCAGCCCTAGATTCTAGTCAGGGTAAGAAAGCAGTAGTGTTGGCAAAGCCTTCAGCTGTGCACAGGGAACTGGAAGGTTTTTTGCTACATGTTGAATATTTTTTAAAAAGTGCTTACTTAGTAATGATGAGAGGATACAACTCTGGAAGCCTGTCTGTATTCCCCCCTCAGCCCCTCCACCTCTCAACAAAACAAATCATGCATGGTAACTGCCTGTACTTAGAGCACTCACCTCTAGGTGATGAGGCAGGGAGCTGACATCCTGCAGACATGCAGTACTTCATCCAGCCATCTCCATCGAAGCCAGGTACTGGAGCTCTTATTAATGGCCATTAGATATTTCTTTTTTTTTTTTTCATTATGAAATAAATTCTGCAGGATTCTTATACAGTATCATTCTGTGCAGGAGTAGACAATTAGGGAAATTACTCTGGGTGTGCTTCCAGTGTTTTCAAGTTAGCCTATCTACACAGAAAGGTTACAGGAGTGCAGAGGCAGGGACTAACTGGAGGAGGTCAGCCAAGGTCTGAAGCGTGGCAGCGCCACTCGCCCATCATAGTTAATGTTTGTATAAAAGCATCTGACGTTTTCTAACGTGACCTTCTGAAAAATGAAGGTGGCATTACCAAGTGTTTATAGCCCCAGTTTTAACACTGCCTCTTACAGCTGAAGCTTCTGCAAAGTTACAGGGCTTTCACTGTGGCCACCCGACGAGCCTGCCCCCATGCTTGCATCCTGTAACCATGTGCCCAGCCTGCTTACAACCAACCACTGCAAGGCACTATTTACTGGCACTGATGGAACAAGGTCTTAAAGCTCGAAGACTGGTTTGTCACTGAGCACCCTTGCTCGACCCAGCACGGCATCAGTTGCCTTTTCTGCAGCACAAGGGCTCGTCTGTGCCTCTTTGTAGCCCCCCCTCCATTATTCACTGGAGACTGCACCCTCTCAGTGTATTAAAGCTCACTTCAAACTCCTGAGGGGGGCTCCCTACAAATGCAAGATCTGAAAGGAAGGAGGGAAAAGGTGTCACATATGAAAAGCTTTCATCCACTGTATTATGTGCATACAATTGCAAGTAGCACAATGCTCCCCCCAAAAAAGGAGGGGGGGGAGCCTGACCAATCAGTACCCAAAAAATAATACAAAAAACATATCAGAACCTCACCTGCCCTTTTGTATTCAAACTACACAAGGTTCTTACTGCTCTGTGACCACTGTTCTTCAGAGGGCCTGTCTGAAGATCAGACAACAATACAGGTGTCAGGTACTGGAGCTTTTCACTCTTCCTTTAAACCAGGCCAGAGCATCATTAAAGCTACAGGTGTCTCAGCACAGGAGTCTCAAAGTCTGCTGGACGTTGGTTTTGAAATAAAGTTCAATCTGCTTTATCTCACCAGTACAGTTCATATGATACTTACATGGGTTTGTGTTTCATTACTTGGAATGGGTATTGTCTTATTGTAACTCCACCATATGTCTAGTGTTGCTCGTCTTTTTCCAGCTATAAAAATTGGACAGTGCATCAGAGCTAATTTGGGAGTTTGCTTTCTTCAATATGGCTAGTTCATGTAAGAGGAAAACTGATCAGTTTTAAACCACAAAACTGGTAGGAAAACTTAAAATTATCAGATTTAAAAAATATTTTAAATTAATTGAATAGTGCAGGTTTGCATATAAGTTATTAAGAAGGTTCATCCAGCTCCCCAAATATCCAAATACATATTCATCAGCTTGCCATATGCTCGCCTAAATGTGCAAAGCAACAACCTCCTCCTGCCCCAAAAGCTGTTTCCATTTCTGTTAAATGGAATTAGTGCTGCCTTAAGTTAAAAACTGTCACATTGGTGGGTTATGTGAGGTTTTAAAATATTCAAAATTTGCATTCAAGTTAAAATTTGCTTGGTGTCATTTAAGAATTATTTGAGGATTTTGGTCCTTCCTATGTGCAATTTTACAGTTGTGTGTAACACAGGCACATGTGCACACAAACACCAGAACACTGTTACTGCAGCTACTTCTGCATATAATCTGCTGTCACTGTGATGAAAAGATTTCACTTCTGAAAATGGAAAAAGCACTGTAAGCCACTAGTGGCATGGATTGAAATGACTTTTCCATCTTCAGTCAAAATATGATTGTTAAGCTTCAGACCAACAGATGCTTCACAAGCCAGCAAGCTCCCAGGTGACTCCAGATCTAGGGACTTCCTTTTCAAATGTTACAGCTTGGACATGGCAATGAATGATTGGATTGGAAATGCTGCCTACAGCAAGCTCTCCATCATCAGTCCCACTTCTCTCCAGTATCAGCATTCTCCTGGAGTCCCTCTTGGCAAACATTGCTGCTCCCTTCCCCAGCACGGGAAGCAGCACAGAATATAAACCAAGAGTCAAAGGCAAAGCCTGGAAATTCTCAGGCTCTGCACAGAGCAGCTTAATTTTGAGTTCCCCTGTCACAGAAGACACGACAGGCTGATCAGGAACCTTTTTACACAAATAGTCAAACCACTTTGAACTCATCATAGTTTAAGGTAACTAAGTCCTTCAGGTTTCAACATCCAAGAGAACACTTTTCCCAGAATATGCTGAAGCAGGCTACAGCAGATGGCTGGTTATTTTTCCCCCAAATGAAAAGGTATGAACCGCAAATTTAATTGTTTGGATTTGGAGAAACATTTATACACAATCAAGGAATTAAAACTTAAGTAAAAAATTTTGTGCCAAATACAGAAAGGAGATTTGTAAATGAAACCAATTTCAAACAAAAATAAATTTATTTAAAATCTTACAGAGTAGAATTCCTTCATTGCACAAATCATATTGATGTCTGTTGGATAATACATTACTTAATAAAAAAACCCTCTGCAATATTGAGGTGGGGAACCCCAAAAGTAAGCCATGTAGCTTATGCAGCCACATGAGAAATGTTTTCTTTGTTATTACACAGGTAGTTGCTTTTATCAGCTAAAGCCTAGTGACTTGGATTTGTTTTATGCATATTGGGTTTTGTTCTATTACTTTCCAAGAGATTGTACTCCCCTGAGTCAGCTGTGTTCATTGGTCAGAATAAATTCCAGCATCTGACACCATTTCCATTAATCACAGACAACCCAGTATATGTGAGCAAGATAATAGAAAGAAAAACTGTATCTGGTGAATGGGAAACATTATTTATGTGTGCTGTTTGCTACTATGGTAGAAAGTATCTGGAAGGCATTCTTTTGACTTTGATAGACAAACTGAAAGAGAGGGAGATGGGCTTCGTACTTACTGTGCAGGGAAGAGTGTCTGGAACCACAGAGGTCATGTAGCACACCGGTAACACGTTTACAGCCCATCATTACTACAGCTATGCTACAGTCATAGCTTCCCCATGTATTTGCAAGAAGCTTTAAGATAACTTGCTACTAAACAGCTGTGAAATTAAATTTTATTACTTTGATCTGAAACTGGACCTGTGAAGTCAACTCCTTCACCCACCCACACATGTGTAAATAGCCCATTCAGTATTAAATATCTTCTCACCCATTACAAGTTAAGCATTGTGTATCTAAATTACAAAGCATTTTTCTTCAACCTTTCAAGCAGTCAAGACATGTCACTTAACCCTGTTGTATTAAGCCAGGTATGAAGCAGATAAGTTAAAAAAAAAGGCATAAATTTGCCTAAAAACTGTTCATGACCTTAAGAGGAAAAAAAAAAAAAAATTTAGACACCCATAATCTATAAAGCAGAGAGATGCAATTCTAGTAACTATAAATCTCAGTGGCGTACTAAAGATACCACAAAAATACTTCTTATGTATTATCAACAGTGTGACAACATCAAGTCAGATCAAATTAAGGCTTTGTTTCTTTCCCAAAAGAAAAGTTAGTACCCACCACCACCACGCAAACCAAGAGTCAAGGTTCTGGTGCTGCGCAAAGGAGGCACGATATGGGTAACTGCACAGTGAGCAGGATGGTTCTGTGGCAGCACCAGTGTGCACAGAGTTAAGTCTGTTTCCTTCAGCAGGAACAAACTGAGCCTCCAGGACTCACAGCGTTCAGCAGCATTACTTATGGTCCTTTAGAATTCACAATCAAACCGTAAATGGTGCAATCTAAACAAGACAGTCTAGGGGATGATTTTTCTCCTGCCACTATCTAATATAAATCAAGGATTTGGAAAGAAAAGAATTAAATCTCACCTTTCTTGATTAAAGATTACATAAAAATGCATTTCTAAACCAGAGGAATCCGAAAGTTAATTGAAAGGAGGAAGGGAGAGATAATCTAATTTTTCATTGTCTTATTCTGAAAAAGGACATCCAAAAGTCACCTTAGAGCTGGTACAAGTTTTAACACCAGATACTGAATATTTTCTTGGTAAGAGACAAATAGCAAACAAATACAGAACTGAAGTATTTTGTTTTATTCCATGAACTGACTTTTCAGCGTAACCTATTGCAAATGTATGTCATCTGCAGTACAAGACTATCTAGGCCCCATACTAAATTTCTTTATTTTTGCCTTATACCAGCACAGCTTTAACATCAAGGAACTCACTCCTGATTAACAGCAGAGGAAGACTATGCTTCTGTTTCAAAACTAGAATTAAAAATAAAGAACATGTCAAGCAATTTCTTTTCCATCTTAAAAAGTTCAAGCATTAAGGTGCCTACTCAGAATCATTCCAAAAATTGTTTAACTCTTGTGCAGACAGTTTTGATTACACTGATCCAGGTAATCTGCTGGACAGTTTAACAAAGTTGGGTTATTTTTCATTTCCCAAAACATATTCTCATTAGGTTTTGGAGGACTTGGGAATACCCAGGAATTATCTTCCAGAGAGCTCTTTCCATAAGAATGGTGTTCCTGAAATGTTTTGCCATCAACTGGAATGGGTCTCTCATCTGCCCATGCTTGTAGAGTCACCCTTTCCGATGGGATGTGGACATCTCTCAGCAGAG